TAATGGGAATATACCCTAAAGAAACCATAACTGCCACCCAAACAGATACATGCACACCTATATTTATTTTGGCTTTGTTCACAGTAGCAAAGAATTGGAAACAATGCAAGTGCCCACCAACAAACAAATGGATAGAGAAGCTCTGCTATTTTCACACAGTGCAATACTATGCTGCATTGAAAAATAAGGAACTCATGAAATATTTCACAGAATAGGTGACCCTGGACAACATTATACTGAGTGGAATATCTTGGTCACAAAAAGACAAATACGGCATAATCCACTGTTATAAAAGAGAACTGCCATAGGGATTAGGAGGAGACTGAGAAAGATGGGATAAATAATGTGTAGTGCATTGAAAAAGGTGAGGAAAAAACGGTTTAAAAGGGATATATGATTAGATGTTATTGTTATGACAGGAGTTCAGAATGAAGGTAGCATAGTGGAGTAGACTTGGGGGGGAGGGATTAAATAGCAATGAAATAATTTTTTCTTTTACTTTTCAAAAAGAAGTGAATTGGGGGATGGTTGGGCAGGGAGAAAAGTGCAACAATGAATGAATGGAAATCCAAAGTGTCTCTAAACTTTCATTAAAATAAAATTTTAAAAAATCATTAGCTCAAAATAAAAAAAGGGCAGGAATCCCTTTTAGCTCTTACTGGGAGCAACTTAGATAACTGGAAAAGTGTTCATGTATTCTTTAAACATTTTATGGAATTCTGTATTTCCCCGCAAATCACTGAGCACATGCAACTATGTAGTACATATACTACAGTGTGGGAATCATTGAGCACATACTAGTGTGAGATTACATACTTAGCTTTCTAATGAAAGACTTTTACCTGTTTTCTTTTATAGGAATATATTTGTCCCAGATGTGAATCAGGCTTTATTGAAGAAGTGACAGATGATTCCAGGTATTGTACAAGATCGTGGAAAATGTGACATTCTTTTAGAATTCTTTTTTATCAGTATTAGCTGAATGAAGAGACTTTATTTTCTTTTCTCTGCCAACAGAGTGTGTATGTGCTTCGGGGTGAAGTGGGATATAAGAAAATGGAATAGAGTAGGGGAAGAAAAATAAGAAGCTTTAGAAAGTGATCTAATAGTGGGTGTTATGAAATCCACTGCTTTTGATTGTGCATGGCATTCTCAGGGAACTTCTGTGTTGATACCAGAGTAAAACTATTAACGTTTTCTGAGATTACAAGGTTCTCTGAGATTATGAGATTTTTAGTGACCACTCTGTCAATGACCAGAAGATAAATTGCTGGAAGAGTGGAAGAGTGACCTCTGAAAAAGATAACCAATAAGATTATAATTCTAGATTGTTGTAGCCTAGAAAATGATCTTATTACTTGGATTAAATCCTTCTTAATAAAGTCAGGAGAGCATCAATAGGATGACTTTTTTTCCCCTCCTAGACTAAAAAGACATTTTTCTTCTTGGAGAGTTATCTGATTAAACATTGTTAGACAAATAAAGAAGTTCTGCCTGGATAAAAATGATCTGTAATCTGAAACTTTATTCTTCAAAGTACTTTTGAAGGTGTTCATGACAGTAGATAATTCTTGTACTATTACTGTTGGCAGAATCTAAAGTTGAAGGTCCCTTCCACAACCAGGAAAAGCTACAGTCTTGACAGTATGTACTATTAGCTTGGTGTTACTAATGATTGCTGATTATATGTGTAAGTGAGCTGGAGCTTTTATGGTAGTATATAGCATGGGATCTAGTTTGTTACAAATATTTTCGGCTAATAACCTTGGTTTTAAATAATTGAGTACCATACTAAGATTAGCATGACAACAAAAATGATTAATTGTGTGTGATGGCATGCTAACTTTAGATAAATCTTTTTCTTTTTTGCTATTATAATTGCATTTTATACTTATTTCAGCACTTTTGCTCTGCATGTGTTAAATAAAAGATGTATCAACTGGAGAGGGTAATTAATGGGCTTATTTTTTTAAAAAAAATTTCTTAAGAGTAATCCCAGTTTAATTATGCCTGTGTACAAAGTACAGCCATAAATGAGGGTAATGTTTAACTTTAGGATGAGTCTTTTTCTGGAAGGAACTGTGAATCCTACGGTTTCCACCCTTGTGTGCCTTCATGATTTTTTCCATGTTCTTTTGTATAGCACAGGTTGTACTATGTGGATACAGTTGGCAGTGACTACTCAAATGCAAAAATTATACCTCTTGAAAGAGATCAGTATTTTACATGGATGAGGGGGGAAATAATTTTTTTTGTAGACTTAAGTATTACTGCATGGTATTTCATCTTATAAAGTTCATAAACAAAACATTTGAATACTTGACAGTCACAAAGTTAAGTATGGATGAATGATAAAAATGAAAACATTTTTGCATGTGGCCTATTTTCTACTGGACACTTTTAGAGGGACACTTTGTTCATTTTCTTAAGCTTTGTAACATTTATGGAAACCTTGTGGTTGGTATTTTTATTATCTCTTCTCTGTGATTAGCTGTATTGTTTTTAGTTGAGTAGAATTATAGTTTTGGGGCCCCAAGGATATTTGAAAGTCTTCATGATCATGTAGTAAGTCTTGAGCAATAAAAATATACACAAAAAACATACATATGCAGCTTTATTTCTAAAGTTACTTGATATTTATTTAATGTATATGTGTCTGCTCTTTTTAGCTTGTTCTGTATTTGAAATAATTTTTACTAAAGTGTTCAATTTATGAAACATACACAGATATTAAATGACATTTTTATTTTTAAATTTTTGGTTTTTGATTTGGATTTTAAAAAATTCTTCAGCATTTGTTTATGTAGATTTTTTATTTGAAGAAAAGACAGAAAAGAATTATGAGTTTCTTGTCAAAGCTAGTCAGTTATTCCTAACTATATTCAGGAAAGGTTGACACATTGAACAAAAGATTTTGACAGAAATTCAGATTTAGTTTTAAGGGAGAAATTGGTTATTTAAAATTGTTAAGTGCTAAAAATAAAAAAAAAGTGTAAGTGCTGGCTGTTTTATCAGATCAGTGTTTTCCTGTATGGAAACAAACATGATTTTGGTTTCTACATATTTTACTTCTCAAGATATAATTTTTTATAAGCTATTGTAGTTTAGAACAGTTCTTTCTATAGACACTTGGAAGAAAGTCTTATGTTTGTACTGAGAACTGATAGACTTAGTAGTATCTGCTCTGTTAGAACAAGGGTTTTAATTTGTGTTTTTTACAGTAACATATCTTAGGCACACAGACACTTGATTTATTATGACAGTTGAGGTCACTTTTTCTGATTTTTATGTGTATGGCTTTTAGGGAATTGTGAAGAAGTAAGTAGAGAGGATAAATTAATTTCTAATAAACTGTAGAAAGTGATAAATCAGCAGAGAGAGAAGAGGAAACTGTTGTAGATTGGAGGGTAGTGTGAGGAAACATCCTGCTTGTTCTCCAGCTTAGGTAGATTCTGTATCTGAGCTTTAAACGTTCTTTGGTATGTATTCAGAGAATAAGGCATGAAAATGATTACATAAGGAATGGCATTTGCTTTGTTTCTTCCCTCCCCCACTCTTGTTTCCAGATTAACCAGGGTGTGTTTGTTTCCTTAATGACCTCAGTACATGGCCTGAGTTGATATCCTGAAAATGAAAGTTATGTGTAGTAGTTTGTGGACTGTTTCTCTCTCTCTCTCTCTCTCTCTCTCTCTCTCTCTGTGTGTGTGTGTGTTGTAATTCTATCTCCTCCCCTCAAAATGTTGCATTACTTTACTCTCTTTGTAAGTGTTTATAAAGCAATATGATCTACTATTCTCATTATTCAGAGTCTTGGGGAATAGGTAGTTATTTTGCTTTTAATACATGTGATATTAATTCAGTAACAATAATTTTTAATAGTTTCGGGGGAAATTATTAAAAAGAAAAATCTACTCTCAAACCAGAAAACTTCTCCACGGGAGTAGAAGTGGCTTTATTATTAAACATTAAATCAGATTGTGATGTGTCACAGCAATCTTCTAAAGAGATAAAAAAATAAATACATTTTATCCTTTATAACTGAGTAAGATACAAAGTGGTTAAAATTCTTGGCTGCTAATCAAAAGGTTGGATATTTGAACCTACCATCAGCTCTGTGGAAGAACAATGTAAGCAATCTGCTTCTACAAGGATTCTTGTTAGGTATGTCCATGACTCATAGTGATCCTATAAACAACAAAGCTGAATCTTCCTCTATCCTGTGCCTTGGAAACCCTCAGGAATATTCTGCTCTGTCTGTAGGTTGTTACTTGACAGCAGTGAGCTTTAAACTTAATAGAGGCAAATCTTACTTGGAACTTCTGGATAAGTTTGAACTGCCACTATTTTGGTTAGCATCTGAGCAACTCTTGACCATTGGGCTACCATTAAAAGTTATCTAAAGTGGGGGGGAGGGTTGGGAAGGGAGAAAATTGCAACAATGAATGAATGCAAATTTAAAAAAAAGAACATATATATATGTGAGAGACATCTCATCAGCTTATATTTTTTTATAACAATTGTTCACTTTTGCAAAAAAAAGGGAGAAGTTCATGTAAATTTATAGATTAAGACAAAACAAGTGTGAGAAGAAGCCAATCATTGTTGAATTCCAATGAGGAGAAATTCTTTTAACATTTCCATCAATTAATTTTTTCAAAATAAAATTAGAATGCAAAAGCATTGAAAAAAAGCAAGTAAATATTCTTGAATTTGTACCTTTTTTTGTTTGTTTATTTTATTATTTTTGTGTGAGTGTACCATCAAATCAGATCTGACTGGTACAGAAGGAGATTGTCCCTCCTTCCCGGGCAGAGCATCTGGTGGATTTGAACCGTGCGCCTCTGGGATTGTAGTTGCAGTTCCTTGCCACTAGGCCACCAGAGCTCCCCAAATTTGTACCGTTTAAAAAAAACTTATCTAAAGTGAATTCTGAAAAAACAAGGAAGAGGATACACTCTTTTTTTTATTAGCAGTATTATTGTTTACTGTCAAGTTGGAGCTGACCCATAGTTGACCCCTCCAGCAGACTTTTAGAGGCATTGAATTGTATGGGAGGAGATTGCCAATCTTTCTCCTGTGGAGCAGCTGGTGGATTTGAACTCCCTGCCTTTGGGTTGTTAGAGCAACTTGTTGCTTAGTAGCCAGCCATCAAAGCTCCCTTACTTATGGTCAACAGAATTTTGATTTATATTTATCTTTACATAGTATAGAATGTGGTGCTACAGTGTTTTCAAAGGAGATGATTTCTCTGTATAATGTATGACAGATTGTTGTTAAGTGTCGTCGAGTTGTAGGCAACTCATAGCTACCCTATGAACGAAAGACCTGGACTCTTGTATAACTTTCATCCTTTCTCCAGGTTCATAGTGTTTCCAGAGGCAAGCTATTTCGGAATTGGATGCCACTCTTGCTTCCAAGCTAGTTTTAATCGGGGAGCTCCACCAAACACTGTCCACCATGGATAATCATTCTTGCATTTGACACATCAGTGTCAGATTCAGCTTGACAGCAACCATGAGTTACCTCTGTACAGCAAGTGGACAGACCAGGGCTATACACCGTAGAAGATTATATGTATTTGTGGCATTTTTGAAGTACAGGCTTTGCTTTCTTGTATTTGTGAAAAGAGTGAAAGGACTGAAAGATGTGGGTGAGACAATCCCAGGTGTTCATGATGCAGTGGGATTTAAAATTAGTGTCACATTTCAGAACAGGTATGTTGTTGTTAAGTGACTTCAAGTAAGCTATCACTCACAGCAACCCTATGAACAAGAGATTTAACCTTGCCCCCCTAACCTTTTGCCATCCTCCTGATCTCTGATGTGCTCAAGCCCTACTGTGTCAGTCCGTTTTGTTGAGGGTTTTCTTCTCTTTTTGCTGACCCGCTGGCGTTCCCAGCATGGTGTCTCTTTCCAAGGAAAACTCTGGAGGGGTACGTGCAGGTGTCTTAGAAATGACTTCGCAGAAGAGGCAGCATTTGAAGTGGGCTCTGATCGGTGGATACTCATACTTATTACTGTCCAGTTGGAAATGACTCGTAGCTGACCGTCCATTGGGTTTCTGAGGCTGCATATTGAATGAGAAGAGATTGTCCATTTTTTCTCTTAGAGTTGCTAGTGGATTAGAACTGCCAGAGAGGTAGCACCTTTGGGTTAGGATCACAGTTTCCCTACAGATTTTACATCATCAGGACTGATGGGTAGAATAATTTAAAAATAGGATGAATTATCAGAGAAGAGTAAATTTATTGAGACCTTTTGTGCTGTATTAAAAGTGAAACATAATTTGGAAGAAAAATCTTGTTTTATTTCTTAGCTTCTTTGAGAATAAATAGGTTTTTCTAGTCTTGCCAACTCACATTGGAACTGCATTACTTGGCTGTGAAGTCCTTCTGCCTTCTTTAATGGTGGCCCTTCTTTCCCATTTTTCACTTGATTCGCTGTAATTTTGTGATTGGTAATATTTTTGATAGATTAATCCACATGCTAGTTCCCCATAATTTCCTTATTAGTTGTCCTATTGGGATGATTTGTTTTTCCTTATTGGGCTTTGCTCTCATTATACCTTTCTATAATTAGCTCCAGGGAGGGGACTGGCTTCCTGGGAATAGACTCACCACTCATTCCTTTTTATCTTTAGTTTTTTAGGTGGCGGCAGCAGGATAGATAATAGCACATCAACACATTTTGCAGAGGTAAGTATTCCATTGGCTGAGAGTTTTTAGGAAGTTAGTGGGTGTTAAAATCATGACAGATATTTACTTACTGTAGAAAAAACACCAGAGTATAAGTGAATGTATAAGAAAAATGTAGGCAAAGATAGTCTTTAGAAAGATTTGTGTGTTCAGTACCTGAAGCTTTGGTATGTTATTTTTTATAAACTCTTGATTAGGAGAAAGTAACAGTGTAATAGCTGTATTGTCTTAATTAAACATAGTAATATTTTCAGTGTTTTCTGCTTATGATGTGAGAGTTAAGAGCTTATACTTTGTTGAAACAGTAACATAAGGTCTGCTGTTGCAGCATGGAAGCTACCAGGTGAAGAGTAGGCTAGGATGTGTTGTAATATGTATCATGATAAAGGATAGGTTCAGATTTGTGCATGGGTGTTGGTTTCTAGAGATTATCTTCATGAGCATGTTAGTTTGGTGTAGTTGGAATTAGGGGACTGGGATAAGATACTTCCCTTCTAGATCCTAGAATGGAACTTTAAATAATTTCTAATTCTTTAAGTAATGTGGTATCTGTATTTTTTTAAAAAAGAAAAACAACCAAAAATTTTAACTATTATTTGAAAATACAGTTAGTCTGTATCATTGAATACCATTTTATAATACATGCAGAGAAATTTGCTTTTCAGCATTTTTATCTATTGACCTTCAACATCCTCTTTGTTTTTAATCCACAAACATGATAGCCCTGAACCTAGCCCTGAAGGGGCTGTCCAAAAACCACCCATGCTTTTACCTCTGCTGTCCCACAACTTGTTTAGCTCTGAAAAGCCAATGGACATGAAAAGAAATAAAACCTTTCTGGATCTTATTAACATCTTCCAGATATAGCTGAAGTGCCTAGAGAACATGTAAAATTTTTTTTGGTATTTGTATTTTGTGTAAGTTAAAATTGCTTTAACCTGTATTTGAAAAATGATATTCAGTAATCCCTTAAGTCCCCCAAGTCTCTAAGTTTCTCTCATTTATTTTCTGAATGTAATTTAAGATCTGTAGTCTTTCAGGTTTTCTTATTATTAGATTTATAGTCAAGAAACTTTCAGAGCTTGAGTAGTACCTCAGCCCCTCCTTCAAAGGCCGGACTCAGCCCCAGCACGTCGTCCACGGGTAGACCTGCTATATTAAAGATGTTTTCTTTTGTTATGACCTATAGTGCTTAACTCTTCTTAATATTTGTTGTTGTATGTGCCATTGAGTCAGCTTACAACTCCACAGCAATACTATGCACAATAGCTCTTCACCCAGCTCTATCCTGAGCCAGCCAGTCTTACTGTCTCTGGCACACCTAACCCTCATTACTCCAGCTATTGTGTCATCATCTTTAACTGTGAACTGATTTGGAATGTGCATTGGCTGAGTGATTAAAAATTTATTTTTCTTGCCAGGCCCAAAAAGCTTTCTGATTTTTATATTTTCTCTTTCCTGTGTGTGCTATTCCTGATAACACAGATTGTCACATCCGCATTATGCATATGCAAAAGAAACCTCATCTGATTTTATTTAAGACTTTTTAGGAAGTGGAAATAAGTTGGTTTGTCATTTTTTCAAGTATGAATCATCAGGAGGAGATGTATTGAGTAATGAGGAAAAAATAAATATATATATACATAGTTTCCTAACTTTAGTAATGCTAAATTTGATACTGGTGGCAGATTACTTCAGGTGTTAAAGTATTTTGCTGAGTCATACGGCCAGTGACTTCATGCTCTTTAACTATAACAGGATACCATTTTTGCATAGTTTTCTTTCTGTAGTATTCTCTGAATATTTCAGTCTTCTTCATTTTCACTAATATTTTGCATTTTAAGGTGGGGGGGCAAAGGAGGAAATTTGTGTAAGATTATAGATGTTGCCAAAGGTTAAAAAAAAAACACCCCAAACGACTATGAGGTATCATCTCACCCCAATAGGAAAAGCACAATTTAACAGAACAGCAAACAACAAATGTGGGTGAGGTGGCGGAGAAACTGGAACCCTTATTCACTGTTGGTGGGAGTGTAAAATGGTGCAACCACTATGGAAGCCTGTATGGCGCTCTCTCAAAAAGTTGCAAATAGAAATGCCATTTGACCCAGCAATTCCACTACTGGGAATATACCCTAAAGAAACATTAACTGCCACCCAGGCAGATATACGTACACTCATGTTTTTCGCAGCTCTGCTCACAATAGCAAGGAGTTGGAAACAACCTAAGTGCCCATCAACAAACAAATGGATAGAGAAGCTGTGTTATATTCACACAATGGAATACTACGCTGCATTGAAAAACAAGGAACTCATGAAATATTATTCAAAATAGATGACCCTGGAGGTCATTATGCTGAGTGAAATATCTCAGTCACAAAAGGACAAATACTGCATAGTGCCACTGTTGTAGAATGGGACTGGCATCAGGGTAGGGGTGAGACTGAGAAAGATGGGATAAATTATGTATACTGTATTGAAACAGATGAGGGAGAGAACTGTTTGAAAGCGATACATGATTGGGTATTATGGTCATGACAAGAGTCCAGAATGAAGGTTGCATAGTGGAGTGTACTGGGGGTGGGCAGAATTGTATATCAATGAAAGAATTTTTCTTTTACTTTTCAAAAAGAGTGTACGGGGGGGGAGGGGTGGGCAGAGAGTAAAACACAACAATGAATGAATGGAAATCTAAAGTCTCTGTAAACGTTCATTAAAATGAATTTTAAAAACCCCAAATGTCAACTACACACATAAACTATACCAAACAGGGGAAAAAAACAACAACCCAAACAAAAAAACAAACAAAAATCCCACCAAAAAAACCAATACATAGGGAGCTTTGGTGGCCTAGTGGCAAGAAGCTGCACTGCAAACCCAGAGGTACTTGTTTCGAATCCCCCAGATGCTCTGCTGGAGAAGAAGGAGCAGTCTCCTCCTGTACTAGTCAGATCCGATTTGACGGTACACACACACAAAATAATAAAATTTTAAAAAATACCCCAAAACGATCCCAGTACAGTATTGTGTGTTTTTAAGAATAAGAGTTACAAGCAAATTTTTGGGAATAATAGTCCGTTAGGAATAAGAATAAGAAGCAAACTTTGGGAATAATAGTCTGTTAGGAATAAGAGTAAGAAGCAAACTTTGGGAATAATAGTCTGTTAGGAATAAGAGTAAGAAGCAAACTTTATAGTCGGCTTGCTTTCAAGGAACTGATTATTGGGTTGTGTAGTAAATTATAATAAAGCAAATAAGAACAAGGAAAGGAATACAGGGAGTATAAAGTTTTATTGTGGAAGATTATATAACAAGTACAGTTAGAAATGAAAATTTTCACAGTAGTAAACTGTGTACATCAATTTTATTTTTCATTTCATGAATTCTAGACATTTATTCAAAATTATCTCACTTGAAAAAATTATCTTAAAATCAGACAGGAGCTCCAAAAAGTGGTACAAAGAACAAAGCAAAATAAATTTATAGTTATAGACATAATAAAAATAAATCCAAAAAACCCAACCTGAAAATAAACAATATTGGACAACTTTTAGATTGATATATGGACATTTTCTTTTTTCACTTCTTTGGGATAAAGGGAAAATTTTGAACTAGGTTAAAACCGAAGCTTTGAACCAGTTCTTCCCAGTTCAGTGAGGCCAACAGTGGAACAAAGTAAAAAAAAATGTGGCATACTAGAATAACCAGAATAGGGAAAATGACAGGTCAGCACCCTACTAGAAACTTAATCTCCTACCAAGAAAACAGAGGCAGAATGCAAGGTTGCATAACAGTGCTTCTTTGATTAAAACAATAATTTCTGAACCAATAGTGTCAGGCTCAAGGATTGTGGCTGTCTGTATTGGTTTTGAACCTGTGTTGCTTTCCACAGTTGTAGCCGTAATCCAGTATCACACATCAGACTCTAGACAGGGCTCACTAGAACTCTTCTGAGTTTCTTATAAGGAATTTTCCCCTGATTTGGCATAACCATGCTTTACAAATTTGGGGTTGTTTGGATTTTCCTGTGTTAGCCATAACTGAACCATTTTGAAACCCTGGGTTAAAACTGAGCAGTAAGTTCTAATTAGTTCACTTGAATTTTTATTTCCCAAAGGGTTGATTGATTGACTTGGGTTTGTTGTTGTTGGGTACTGTCATTGGAACGGTCCCATGCATTGCTGACTCTCTGCTGGGTTTTCAAAGGCAGTAAATTGCATGGGAGGAGTTTTCCCATCTATTTCTTCTGTGAAACACCTAGCTAATGGACTAGAACCACCATTTATATTGGTGGTGCAACTCCTTACCACTAAGCCATCAGAGCTCTCTAACTTGAGTTTAGCTACTGGGAATGTTAGTGTGTTATAGGTTTCAGTGCTAACCTTAAGGTTAGAGATGTGAATCCACCAGAATCTACTTGATGGCAGTGGAATAGGTTTTAGGGGTAAATGGTCAGACTAACAAATGCAATGAAGAGATTGGGAGAGTCTCAGTCTTTGGAAGACTAATATTTTTAAGAAGAGATGTCATATGACATAGTGATTAAGAGCACAGCCTCTCTGGTCAGAGGATACCTGAGTTCATATCCTAGGTTTACAACTTACTAGTTTAATAACCAACAAAATTACTTAGGCTCTCTTTAAGTGCCTCTGTCTCCTGGTCTGTAAATTGAAGAATATAATGCCTACTTCTCAGGTTGTGAGGATCACATTAGTTAATACTTTGAAAGTTTAGACTGATATGCCTGCTGTATCAAATCAACAAGTCACCATGGAGTCAAAACTGACTCATATCTAACATCCTAGTGGATTTTTGGAGACTATAAATCACATGGGAGATGATCCATTTTTGCTGGTAGATTCAGACCTTTGGTTTGACAGTGTGGCCTCCCTTGCCTGCTGTATCACTTGTTCTGTCTTTTTCTCATTGCTTTTGAGTCAGAACTGACTTCTACCTGGGCCTTCAGTGGATTTTCTGAAGGCTGTAAAATGTATGGGAGA